AGACCTACCTTCAATTTTCTCAACTCTATCAGGCTTAGTACCAAATGAAATTATTACTATAGTCACAGACTTATCATTTACAAAAATATCTATAATATTTTGTACCCAATTCTTACTTCATCTTAATCAACAAATTTATCGCAAAATTTGGATCCTCTATTGTATTTCAAGATCTATAACTCATCTTCCTACTTCTAACTTATCTTTTAATTCTACTTTGCAATTAGTGCAAACTCCTTTTCTTAATACTATTAGCTCCAAGATTAATTTTTGGTATATACAATGGATTAAATATCAAACCAATCTCTTATATATTATTACTAATACCCAAATCTAGATGAGTCTTGGTCACTCCAGTTGGTTTAGGTCGCAGATAAATTAGTCTGAGCTTCTATTCTTACTATAATATTTTAAAAGTAAATTTAAACTTTATGTAAAATCTCAGTTAAATATTCAATAAAGATAGAGACATGGTCTCACTATTAACATTAAAAAAAATATATATATATTTAACTAACATGTAACCTCATGTATCATGATTCTGATTGATCAATATTGACAGATATACAATGGAATTTAATATAATATAGATTTTTTAAATAGACCAATCACATTTGATCTTATATGAGAAGGAGAGAGAATATCTTTATAATAAATAGATATTACATAATATATGTCAGTGCTCTTATGTGCTTAACTTTAATTGATCAATTATGAGATCACTATAGTTATAAAATAATGTCTATTTTGTAAACTCAATTAAAATAAATTTGTATAAATAATTGTTAAAAAATCTTTAAAAAAAATATTTAATTTTAATTTTTTTTAAAATATAAAATAAATTAATAAAAGTAAACCAAATTTATTAGATAGATTTGTTTTATTTTTATTAACTTTACCTTATATTTTAGAATTTTTAGTAAAATTTCTTATAATTATTTAACCAAATTTAATATTTTTGACCTATGGATTAATAACACAGTAGTTAGTAATCTTGGGTCTTAATCGCAAAGTTGTGAGTTCAAATTCAAAAAGTAACAAAAACTCTGCCAGAACTATGATTAAAAAAGTTCTGCAGAGGATTTTTATTTAAAAAGCAAGAACAAGATTTATATGAAAAAGAATGCAGTAACCAGCATAATTACAAGATTAAGAACAACCAGATAAGATGTAATCTATCAACAAATAATGTTAACATTAAGAGAACCCAATTTAAGAACATGTAGAATTGAGAATATTAAAATTTACAGACAATCCAACTGGTGGTCATGTGAAGTTAGGGAACTGTGAACCAAAGAAGATAATAGGTCCTACATTACAGAATCAGGGACCCGGAACATCATATGACAGACTTAATGGAGCATGAGCTATCTCACAGTTCAGTGACATACAGAGGCTACACGCCATCTGATGATCTTCGCAGAATGATAACTCTGACCTTTAAGAGATGTAACAGGCCCTAAAGGTGTCTAAGAACCTTCAAGAAAGTAAAGATGAAAAAAAAAAAAAAAATTTAGTATTTTTTTTTACTGTATATTTTAATATATAAAAAAAACTTTTAATAAATTTAATTAAATAATTATATATTAAGAAACATTACTAGAATTTAAAAATGTTTCAAATTTACAAGTTATTTTCTTTTAGGAGGTTTGTATTACTGACACAAATAAGTAAAACGCTTCCGATCCTAACCACATTTAATAAAATTACTAGATCTTATATAACAATAACAAAACAAACAGAAAAAACATAAATTGTAAAAAAAACAAATAACAAATTTACTATAACAACCAATTTCTGATCTCTAAATAAAAGTTTTCTGAATGAAATTTAACTTATAGAACACAATTTTTAATGTTAAATATATAAGGAATTTTTGAAATACTCGGACCCATATTTTTTTGGCTGGCAGAACAGGATTTAGATATAAGGGTACGCCATGAAATAAGGCCGAGCACGGTATCTCAGGGTACATCTTAGGAGCATGCCCTTTTTCAAAAAGTTTACATCAAAAAAAAATATACCCAGGGGACATGCCCAAAAAAATTCGGGATCCCAACCTTATCGTACATATTGATTTTAATTAATCAGACATTGTTGCATACTATGTTACAGTACATAAGCTTAGTACAAACATAATAATTTACGTCAAAATTGACGCACACATTAGAGATAAAAAACTATTATTTATTGTCATTATCGCATTTGAACATCCAATTCGTGCAGTTTATGATAAATATCAGAGGACAGAACACTACATTAATCGGATGTGGATGAAAATAGAAAACCATTGACAAAAGTTAGTTGAAGGATTAAAAGCGCATAATTAATAAAGAAAAAATTACCTATGTTTTAAATATCCAGCAAATGTTACAAGAGCTTTAGCTTTTCGTTGAAGGGTAGCGGATTCCTAATAAAAGTAGATTGAATAATTAAAAGATCACCAATCAATGTTTAATAAATAAACGTGACTTACATCCATGTATTTTCTCAAAATGCCAGGAGTTCCTTTTGCCATATTATCCTTTAATTGCTGATAGTATGCATATATACACCTCATGGCAATATGTAAAAGTTCCGGAATACAATTTTTTAGCTGATCATCGAAAGCTTCAATGGCACTAGCCTTCTGTTGAATAATCCTCATATCATCTTCGAAAGGAAAAAGATCAATTTGTTGAATGATCTATTGTGGAATGAAAATTGAGTTAAATATGAATGCATGTTTTAAAGGTGAATTGATTACATATAATAACACTCACAGCAACTGCTCTTACGAAATCTTGTTGCTTGTATAACTCGACAAAATCGACCAAATTTAATAATGTGCGAGAATCCTTCAAACGATTCTGCGATATTTTTCTAATGCCTATATTTTCATATTCCTTCAATATACGGCTAATCTCCTGTGGATCCAATTCTTTCGCTGTCTCTGGCTGCATTACAACACCACGAATAGAAATCCATATATATTCTGCAAGCATCTTGTTAAGCAGCACAATAATCTCTTCAAAATTCTAATAGAAATTTTGTCAATCATAAAGCGTCATGTCTTGTTAAAATGTGTATGAGTTCTGCCAAGTGAAAATCGGGAAATCTAAACACAAATTACTATGAATAAATATTATTTTATATTTAGACTTAGTTTTCACTTGGCGGCACTCATACCTAGATAGACTACCTGCGTCAATTCATAAAGACTACGTGCGGCTTTGAATTTGCCATCTTCAACGCACTGCCGCGCAAGTGTGTTAATAATTGTTTCTGTGAATTCATCCTCGTTGTCTATAAACATTAACGACATGCACTCTCTCATCTTGCCCTATACACATACGTTATTAGTTGAAGACTTGATAGCCAGTTTACACCGAAATATTGAAAAAAAAATTAAATATAATTCCATTATACGAATGTCACTAACCAACTCATTAAACGCTTCAGTGTCATATATGAGTTGTCGGATATATTCATGGCATAATTCAATTTGATATCTTCCAGCCTCTGTTTTTGGATTACCGTGAAGATATAGTAAAATAAGATATTGAAAGGCACTGCTTGGTGCATTTCCCTTCGCTAATGACCGAGCATACTGACATATGAGGGTGTTAAAATTCAAATATGGAACCATCTGGTCTCCAACCTCAACAACTTAAATAAAATTATTTTTTAAATGAAACTGGTGCAGTGAAAATCGAAAATATAAATATTTAATATAAACATACGCAATGCCATAGCCTCGCCTTTGTCTGGTATTCTGAGTAATCCATAGTATGCAAGTGCAATAGCAAAATGTACAGCATCCTCCGTGAAATCAGTCTGGTACAAATAATGCACTGCCTTCAAAAAAATCGAAAGTTTAAAGAATTATATTTAAAGGTTCAATTCTAGTATTTTATTTTAAATCCTAATTGTAAAATTCTTACCCTTTCAAATTGTGCGGTTAACATTAAAGCACGGAAATATTGTATAGTATCTTTGCCACCATGATTGAAATGACTTGGGCCCAAGTTTCTAATTGCCTTTTGCAAGCTGTCTAATGATAAAGTGTCATTTGATGCACCAACAATTGGTTCTATTTCACGAACACACATTAACTGAATAACAAACATTAAAAATTTAAGAATTTGATAAATGTCAAATGCAAATTCTAGCTGAGTTTCTCATTAAATTACCCGCATCCACATGAAATCCTCTGAGGTAGGAAGAACGCTTTCAATAGGAGGTTTCTGAGGTAATTCTTCGAGCTGTGCGACGATTTGATACATAATAAACTTATATAGATCTTTATCTTGAAAAGTTAAAGGGTTCCATTGCTTCATTTCCGCCACTAGTCTTTGCCTATCGTGAGAAGGAAGCCTGGATAAAGGAATGATATAAACAATAGTTATTCCATTAGTTAATGAAAATTAATAAAGTTACTGTTTATACCTGTTATTATTGGTAATAAATTGTTCAAAATATTTCACAAAGTGCAAGTCCTGTCGAGGAAGCATATTTTCATATCCTTTGGCCACCTCCAGGGCTTCTTTATAATATCCTTGTCGCACGAGAATGAAGATATGCCCCCATATAGGAATATTTTCTACCATCTTAAAAACAATAATAATTAGCAAGTGTGAATAAATCTTCTTAAGTAACGTACATACTCTTAAACCTGTTGTTGGAATGCCGCCATTCGGCCTATGTATTGCACGCAAAACAGCACGTGCCATATTAGTTGCAGATGGTTGTCCACCCAGCATGGCTTCGTTTCGAAACGAGTTTACGTAAGCGGTGGACCATTCTCGATACCTTGAGTTAATGATATGAAATGAATTTAAGAATTAAAAAAACTGAGCTAATTAAGTAAGGTATATGATATATACGCACGATTCCTCTAAATAATGTTTAGCACCATTTATGAGGTCAAAACAAAGACTTTTATATGCAGTATTAAAAGCTGGTTCCTGATATGCTGGTGCGAACTGACGCTGCTTTAATGGATTACGTTTAAAACTACCATCAATGACATTAGATTCTCCAACAATAGATGCAAGTGCCCGCCAACATTGAACTATTTTTTTTCCCTAACGAGCGTAAATTAATAAATAGATATTTGAGAGTTTGCTATATAATCGATTTGTAATAATTCTTTGATTGCTACATACATAATCTAAACTGATCTTCCTCGCGGCATTGTGAAATTCATTTATAATACCATATTCAATCTTTGACAACCTAGCATTATTCAATTTTACAACAACATCGAAATAGCCCAAATATTTTTGATTTAATTGTAAAGTTGATTCATTTTTAAATGATATTCTTCTTTCTCCTGAAGCGATATACGATGGTTTCTTCCAATTAAAAAGAATAGCAATATAAGTCAAATCATATCATTTATCAAAAAATAAAAGGTATACATATTAAATGCCAACCAAAGTCGAAGCCCTGAAGCTGCTTGATAAAGATGCACTTGGTGAGAATTGGCTTCGAAATACACTACTTCCGGCACTACTAGGAAGTTCTGTTGATCTCATAATTATGTGTTGGCCAAATTCTTCAAATACCTTTCTCTTAGTTTTATCCCATTCTGAGCTGAGACAGCAATCGAAGAGAGCATTGTATTCATTGTCAGTCTAAATTAAGAAACAATTAAAGGTGCATAGTATATGAACATACAAATAATAGTGACAATCGATCTATTATTATAATTGTATATATAGTAAAACTACTTGTGTATAACCATCCTTTATAATACTTGTGATCGTTTGTTGGTGTTTATGGTCAAGATATCTCTGGTAACAAACGAAAAAAAAAAGTCAAATAATAGACATTATAATATTAACTTATTTATTTGACTGATACGTACCTCAACATCGGTATCAAGTAAAATGGTGCGTGGCTCGAAAGCACCTAATACGGAGATACTTTTCACATCTTGTGTCAATTTATCACCATCGATCCCAATATTTGCTAAGAAGTAAGGACTAGATGTATGTCAATAAAAGAACGAGTTTTTGTAATATAATGATTAAAATGCATAAAATAAGCGAATTCGAGGCATGGTACAAGGCATAAATCGAGCCATAAAATACGTGTGTATTACTCTGAAAGAGTAAAATATGGCATTCATTGATTTGTATTTAGGCTTCTTTCTAGTCACATATTTTTTAATAATGAGTATAAAGAGTTAAAAGGAATTAAACACGCACGCCTTTCTTTCAGGGGCATCTCCAGGCTTTACAACTTTATCAGCAAGTTTACGCGACTGTTTCTCAATTTGTTCCAAATTTCGCTCGATTAATGGAAGATCATGTTTTACAATCGTGTTTGCAACACTTCGAGATCTTTCTACAAGTTGCTTTAGTTGTATATTGTTTGCCATATCTTAAAGAACCATGAAACTTGCACTAGTCCAAATTTTTGACACATATAAATAGATAATTGTGATGGAAATTTGTTTTCATTGGCTGATATTCAAGCATTCTGATTGGACAAAGTTAAGATTAACACAGCGATACCTGGTTTTGCGTGGTATAAGCGCTGATGAAGAAAGTTCGAATGAAATCCACGAGACAGTCAGGAGACTCTTAAAATAGAAGAAAGTAAGCTTCATATATTTCATACGTTTCTTCTAACCAAAGTAAATTTGGAGTGGGGCTTTTTTGCCAGACTCTTTTGCCTTTGTTGTCTACACGCCAATAAGGGATATCTCGCAAGTCCGATAGAACTGTGACCTGTCCTTGGTATATCGAGTCCGGTCTGATACTACTACATCAAATTTAATAATTTTTATTTTTATTTTTATTTTATAACTATATAGAACTAAAATAAAAAAACATTAAATTTAGTTTAATATATAGTTGTTAAGATATTTTAATTTAAAATTTAAAAAACTTTTATTTAAAAAATTTATTAATGAGCTTCTATGTATATATTGTTAATGAGCTTCTATATATATATTGTAAATCAAATTTTTAGAAACATTACAGACAAAAAATACCAAAATTACATTTTGATATTTTTACTATAAATGTATTAAAAATATAATTTTAGTTATCAAAAAACATAAAAGTATGAGTCTGTTACTTTGCTCCAACATATTTTTATATACCTTTTGTATAAATATGCATAATAATGCATAAATATGCACAAGCATGCATAATAATGCAACAGGTGCATAAGAATATGCAAGAAAGTATAAAACATACAAGAATTATATAATTATATTATTAATTACTTTAAAATTTGTAATTGTCAAAAAATTGACTCTGAGATATAAAACACAGTTAATTAATATTTTCCTGAAAGGTTATAATTATGTAATAAAGTGATACTTCCTCAACCAGGCCATCAGAATTTGGTCTGAAGAAAAAGAATTATTAAGATATTTTAATCCAAAATTTAAGAGTTTTTTGCATTTTATTGTTAAATAACAAGTTTTGTTACAGTCTAGATATTAGTATAAAAAGAGATAAAGTTAAACCTAAATAGTTCTTAATAAAAGGCAGTAACAGAGTTGTTCAGTCTTAAGATGAAATAGTTAAAAGTATATTTATACTAGTTAGATAAGTCAAAGAGTTTAAATAAAGCATCTATAAGTAAAGATTAGATATAACAGATAATAAGTAACCTTAGAATAGAATTTTTAAATAGACAATGACTAAAGTTATATGTATACTTAGAATATTACTAATTAATAAAAATTATCAAAGGTGTGGCGACTTAGTAAAGTGAATAAGTTGTCAACCCTCCAAGTGGTAGGTTGTGAGTTCAAAACCCACAGATGGCGAAAATTTAGATAATCATCTATATAATATTCATATTATGACAACTGTTCCTAACGATTGGGTTAAGATACCTGTAATTATGGTTGCACCAGCATAACTAGCAGGTTATGGGCATCTGTGTAACTAGTTACACAGAGGAATTCAAACTGGCATCAGGTGGTGCAAACCTAAAATAAGTCCTTATAACCATATAAATCTATAGAAATTGAGAAACAAGAAGCCCATTTGGGAAAACCCGAGTAGAGAAATAACATAGATCTTTGACGATACTACTGTAAAGGCTAGACCTAGGAAACAGATACCAATATGAAGTACCCGGATAGGCAAAAACCTCTAGGTAGAGGGTACCACCAACCAGGTCACTAGAAGTCCAACTGGGAGGACTGGAGGAAAAGGATATCAGGCTGACCTAATATACCAATAGGTTGGTTATAGTCCTATTAGGCTATCTGAATTGAGAGTTTGGAGAAAAAGCAAGGGTATACTAAAAGTACTAGAAATATGCTGTGAAGTAAGTGCTAGGGTCTGAGTGAACTCTGCAAGAGCAAGTCCTGTTAATGTTCCATAGAGTAGGTAGGTAGTTAACAGGTGGGCCCTCAGAGCCTTATAGTCAGATATCATGCTCTGAAAATAATTGTGTAATGGCTTAACAGACATACAGAAGGGAAGCTAAATGTTGGATTAGATGGCACTTAGGTGTACAGGAACTGAGATGCTAATTGTCTAGGTGCAATATAGGAATCAGAGTGTTTAATTAGATAGTCTCCTAGTAGATTATAGATATGACAGCTAGTATAGAACTCTTGGGCAGACTACTTAAATAAGTAACCAAAAGTTATACATGTGGCTAGTTGTATGCTCATCCTGTATAAGTAATATATAATATATTCATTAAAAACATAATAAAAGCATTAACTGCTATTAACATTAGCCTTTAAACAAAAAAAATAAAAAAATAAAAAAATAAAAAAATAAAAAAATAAAAAAATAAAAAAATAAAAAAATAAAAAAATAAAA